TGCTAGTATGAATACATTTACAGAATAACACTATTAGTTCTCAGGGAGCCAAAAAAGATCTACTAGGAAAACAGTGGACAGTTGATGTATGTAGTCTCTAGATGGATAATAAATGGTGGAGGCCTATAAACAGACAACTAATGCCAACAATTGTATAGCCGAAACAACCTTTAGATTACAGATAGCTAATGCTGGCACCTTCTAACCGGACAATTGATGCTGGCAATATCTGTCTTGACAACTGATGGCGCAAACTTCTAGCTGGATAGTTGTAACAACAATCTATAGCTGGTTAACTCCTTCTGGTAACTTCTAGTTGTATTACTTATGGTGCCAAGCTCTAGCTGAACAACTGATGCTGGCAACCTCTGGTTGGAAAACACATGCTGGACATCCTCTAGATGTTGACAATCTCTGGTTGGACAACTGATGCTGACAATCTCTGGTTGGACAACTGATGCTGGCAACCTCTAGCTGGACAACTGGTGCTGGCAACCTTGATTGGGCAACTGATGCTGGCAATCTCTAGCTGGAAAACTGATGTTGGCAATCTTTTATTGGACAACTAATGCTGGTAACCTCCAGATGATCAGCTAATGCTGGCAATCTCTAGTTGGACAACTGATGCTGGTAACCTCTAGAAGATCAGCTGATGCTGATAATATCTAGCTGGATAACTTATACTTATTATACTTACAACCTTTGCTTGGACAATTGATGTTCACAATTTCTACAAAGATTTCTGATACTGGCTACTTTTAATTGGATAATCTCTAGATGGTCAGTTGATGCTATCAACCTCTGGCTGAAGAATTGACACCGTTATCTTCTAGCTAGGCAGCTCAGGCTAGCAACCTCTAATTGGACAGCCCACTAGCAACTCCTAGCTGGCAAAAATAAGATCACGTCAGACCTCATTACTATTTTAAGCAAAGTATGTGAATATCAATAAAGTTTAAACACTGTAATTTGTTGACACCAACAGTTTAACTTTTATAAACAATAATAAACCTTAAAATAAACTTTGATCCGTCTACATTTTGTTTTTCTGTATAAAAGTATCATAAAATATTTTACAGACGACGACAGCGACAGGCACACACGTAAACTTACATCATCTTATTATCATGTTTAAAATAAAGATAAAAATACAGCATAATCGATTTCTAATACAATACAATGTATATTCTGACTTTAAGCATGTCCTTGAATTTTGGTGCCTGTTTTCTTGTTGTTTTTGCATTTTTCTTCGTACTAGAACATTATAATGTTTATAAACGTCTCTACTGGAGAAATTAGAGATATTAAAGACCAAACCTGCACGCTCTTATCTTATATGTTGAAAACAGATGTGTAAGGTCTGGTTCTTTATGAAGTTTGATCATTTTAATTGGAAGACTGGACCGAAATGAGCCATTTTTCTCTCAGTTTTTGACGAAAATAACTCACGATTAACGACGGCAGTAAAAAGTAATGCTTGGCTTGTACGTGTCTCATCAGGTGATAAAGTACTCATCTCCTTTCATATTACACAAGATACGGAAACATCGAGTTTTCTGACGTGCTATTGAGAGATATCTCCACTGTATGTTTCTACTTGCCATGTGTTCGCATACCCAAAGGATGTTAATTATCTAGTAAAACAGGTGTTTGCGATAAATAACAAGAGTACTCCTTACAATTATATTCGGACTTTGTGAGTTAATGATAACATCATAGATCATATATATATATATAGATAACACAAATATTTCTTGTTACCGGACACAACACCTGCGTCTGTTTATTCGTATTGGAAAGTAGCCTGTTTCCACTCATTAGAAAATGAAATCTCTTGCTATTTTGTATGCGTTATTGACACTGATCACACTAGCTTCAGGGTAAGTATATTGTCCGTCAAAATTTTTATTTTATTTTCAACGTCCGATTCAATCATTTAGTACGCTGCTAAATTTTCGATAACCGCCTGAGAATATGAAAAAAAAATCTTCCGTATTTTTAAACGCAAATTCTCATATGCTATTTAGATACTGCTTTAACAAATGCTTTCACGAACAGTTAAACAATGTAGATGTACTTTTTAAGTCAGTCCAGATTATTCATTGTCGTTGTTGCTCTATCAAAGCTATCTAGACGTAATGCGCACAGTATCATAAATAAAAGCTTACTCGTCTGTTTCGTCACAATACAGTTTGAAATGAGTTTTTCTACATTAAACTACATTAAATTAATAACAGGTTTAGAGTGCATTATAAAAGATAAAACATGATGAAACGTTTTATAACTTCGAGAATCAACCATCAGCATCGCACACAAGCGATATTGTTTGTTTGTTTATTTATTTGTAATTAAGTACAAAGCTACACCACGGGTATCGAAACCCGGTTTCTAGTGTTGAGAGTCCGCAGACATACCGCTGTGCTATTGGGGGCCAAGCGATATTACAAATAAACAAAAATACTAAGCGATTGAAATAGCATAAGGAATGGGATCATATTTTATGGTTTTTATTGTTAGATTTAAGTCTTTTGATAACTTTTCTTTCGAAATATTAAAAATCCGCCAAAGTACTAAATTATTGAAGAGGTACAAAAATAATCGCTGGAATTAAAAACATTCGTTTACACTAAATCTATTGAAAATTGCAAGTTCTCCATTTTCTTCCACTTATGGAACATGGTCTTTAGAACAAAGAGGGACCAGACACGACCTACTGGTTGAAGAAAGATATGCGTATAAGGTTCAAGCTGTGATATACACCTGAACACGTTTCAGTTATGAGAGCATTATAGCTGTGGCAGTCGATCTCGATATTTGATTAAGATTTTATGTATATTAGGTACAGGTGCCGCTGAACATCTCCCTCTAGTCAACAGCTCGAAATTAGGAATGCTACACCTGAGCCTTGGGGATCTCTGGCTTGGTCATATGTCTCAAAAGGTGACGCTCAAGTTGAAAATACCAAGCATGAAATAATCGTTTCTGTTAATTTTAACACTTGCTTTTAATGGTGAGAGTTTTTGATGTTATATATACGGTTGTACTCATTTAGCAAAACTCAGCCAAATGAAACTCGTTAAATGTAAGACGTATTAGTTCACTCCCTTGCTAGACAGGCTATAGTTTCACTTAAAAGTAATTTTTAGTTTATTGATTTAAGACCACATTTTTAGCCATTTGCATAAAGCTTTTCCAAATCTTGAATTTATTAATTATGTCGACCATGGGCTATAGAGCAAATTTACCAATCAGTGTTCGCCGACAAGAAATGAAATTAATTGAAGTTCGGTTGGAAGAAAGCTTGAAAAGTTATGCTTGCTTTTTACAATCTTCCAAGCTGGTCAAAAGAAATTGGTCGCTTTCTTTAAAAATATTTATCACATTAGTGCACAAAGCTTTCAAGTGATGAAGAATGAAACCAAGAAACCTCAATATTTGTTATGATAATGAAAAACTAAACTACGCATAGTTTTTAGGTAGAACATCATATGGAACGAATAACATGGTTTATGAAAAATAGCAATGTCTTATCTCTAGATTTATATGATTTTGCTTTTGTATACATGGACTTTTTGTTATTGACTGATTTTTGAATATAAAAACAAAATTATACTTTTGATTTTTACAAGACAATTTATATCTTAAATCAAGTTTTCTCCATTTTAGGTTAGTGAAGAATATTCCAGAAACGGCATTCACATCGTACTCGGTAGTATGCTTCTTTCATAAAACTTCTTTCTTTGGTTAAAAACACGTTAAATGTTTGTCAAATATTCTTCAAAATGTTGAATCCCCACACAAAAAAAATAATACATAGTTTCCTTTACAAGATCTGTTTAATACACTTCAGCCTTTATGAAGTTTGCATTATATTCTGATTTTTTTTAGGATAAACTGACATGCGTTGATAAACCATGTCAGAATGGTGCTAAATGTCTTAGAGCATACCGACCACCAGAACATTTACAGACGTACTATTGCTTTTGTCCGCCAGGGTTCTGTGGAAAAACTTGTGAAAACGGTAAGATCATTGAAACTAAAGTCTCTACAAATTGTAAACGTCAAACTAGCAAACTTTTCAGAAATTTCTATTCTAATCGCCCATGACTTATTCATGAATAAGTTGTCCAAATTTCGATGTTTAAATAACAAACTGATAAGAATATCCACTTATACAAAGAATTCATTAAAAAATATAAGATTATTTTCACTAAAATATTAAATCCTTTGGATTTAATTTTATTATTTGGTGCCAGTAACTAGGCACACCTCATAGACCATATATCAAGAACAAAAAATAAAACGTTAGTATATCTTACCTCGAAGAAAAATTTAATTTTTTTTTTTATACAGAACAGTTTATTCGATACCATGGCTACCAGTTGAAATGCCTGGAAGATTTTCCAGCCTTGATGTCAATATCAGGATCTATAGAAGAAATTTATGAATATTGCCCTCAAATATGCTGGCAAACACCTGAATGTGAAAGTATTAACTACATCACAGGACCAACAGGTATAGGTATCTGTCGACTTTTCCAAAAAGCTCCTGATATGTGTGAATTTCAGAAGATTAATATAACGCCATCCAATAGGGTTTCTTATGTTGCTGATCTGAAGAACTTCCAATGTTAAGAAAGCAAAGCTCTTTTAAAATAAAACCAATTTCTTTATTTCGTGATAAATAGCATTTGCTAATTTGATCTTTTGTATGTTTTTTTTAACTCAGTTCGTCGTGGTCTGGCATGGACTTATGGTTAGAGCACTCGATTCGCAGTCTGAAAAATGTTTGTTGATTATCACTTCAAATTTAGGGGCGGTTACCGCAGATAGTCCTCGAGTAGTTTTGCACGAAATTCAAAAGAAACAGCCCCCAGTGGCATAGCAGCTGTCTGTGGACTTACAACGCTAGAAGCCTGCTTTCGATACCTGTGGTGGGCAGAGCACAGATAGCCCATTGTAGCTTTGTGCTTAACTTCAAGCAAACAGTTCGTCATACATATTTTATAACATTGGTTGTTTGTTTGTAAATAAACACAAAGCTGCACAATGGGCTATCTGTGCTCTGCCCCCACAGGTATCGAAACCCGGATTCTAGCGTTGGAAATCCACAGACATACCGCTGTGCCACTGGGGGCATTTTATAACATATCTATCACTTCTTTTGCCTTCTCCTACACTCCTTAGCGTTCGCAAAGTATTTTGTTTATTTAATGTCACAGAGTAGTGAATGAATAAAGTATAACTACTGAATTAAAAAATGTAATGAATTATCATCATCAGAAGTTAAATTAAAAGACAGGAAGAAGAAAATTGAAATTCCCGAATCAATATAGCAACATTCAACTTTCATAATAAAACACTTTTTAATAGACAATCAAATAAGATATTATAGAATCTACTAAATAAGCAGTGGAGCACACAATAATTATTTATAATTCATAATGCGCCCGTGAAGAAGGAGCGTCTACCTTCCGAAAGCTCTCTGGATCACAGGGCTGTGATGGTTTTATTGTCTTGAAATTTTTACATGTTCTACAGTAACTCCTGTACGCTGAATCCGAAAATGATATCCATTTTCTCCACCACGTGCAGATTTTTCACAAAACTTTATATGTACTTTTACATAAGTGAGTCATTTTTATTTAAATCAGGTCACATTTTGTTATGCTTAAAATGGTGACAACCACTGGCTATAGATTTCTCTAGACCAATCGCGACTTGAGAGTCTTATTGATCTTTCTAGAACCTACAAGAAATACACCGCTAGTAAATAAACGGTTAACAGGCCGCATGACGTGTCATTTCTGGATACTATTTGTTTGTGCGTCTGCTTTCATATTATTTTTATCTTTTCAATATAATTTATTCGTTGCTATGGCAAGAAGGGGTTGTGTAAATGACCCAAACATATTATGTTACATTTATGGTCAAAAAGCGTATTACGCGTATTTTGGAATAAAACTTGGGGACTAAGACAAATCATAGGCTCCGCACAAAGTTTGTACCGTTTCTGTCGAATAGTTGAAACAATGGACTAAAGGTAAGAAAATGTCTTTGTTTTTTGGAATTCCAGTGGTCTGGCGTTAGGCTAGAAACCACTCAGATGACTGCTATTTTTGCTCATGTAACGTGTAAAGCTACATCACTCGAAATAAAAAGGAAATTTTATATTCGAACCTTCACTCTGCTCATGTACCTGTACCAACTCCACCCGTGACTCTTGATAAAATTTCATCTGATGTGAATAAAAATGATGATTGGGACTGTTTTCAACCTGAAACAACTGGTGAACACAATGTGAACTTAATGCTTTGGGTCTTCTAAAGGATTCTTCAGAGATTTTGAGGTCCAAACTTTGGGCTAAGAACTTACTTTCTCCGTGAGCATAATTTTAC